TTAGTATCACTTGACCTTTTTGTCAGTGTACCTTTTCTCCAGACGCCCGGTTTTAATTTCTCTGCCAGCTCACTGAGAGGAATGTTATCCTCATCAGATTCAATGTCAGTTTCAGGTATGATATCTTCATCGCCTAATTGAAAAACTTCAGGTTGGTCTTCATCACTTTCAGGGGCCAATATGCGATGTGATTGGCCATATTCATCTTCCGACAGATCTGGATCGTCACTTTCGTTATCACTGGGTATGCTGTGAATACCCCGATTACTACCGTAAAATATTTTTGGATCCATCTGCAAAAACACTTCATTTTTAGACCCAGTTGCTAAAATGCATAGTGTACCACCAAGCATGTAAGCGCATAGTGTCTCATAAATGACTCATACTTACTTTTCGGTCTAATAGTAAGTACCAAACAAAAAATACAACAAACTTACCTTCAAATGCAAGAAAAACCAATATGTAATACACAGATATTTTTTTCAAACAAAACTGCTAGATTTGATTCCATAAACACACCATGGAAAAGTAGCTAAATGGTATGAAAGGCGACATCAAACTAGTTGTCAGTCTAGGTACCTAAAATGTGCCTAAAATGGCGGTACGGTTTGCGCGATTGTGAAATACGGCATATACGCATTTATGTATCGGTCCCAGATGTGACACGCCATGCAGTTTTACTTTATTTTCACTTTAAGACTTAGAAAAAATTACAATTTTGGTTTGTATCATATTTGACTCAGTATGCAGTAAAGGGTTAAGCAGCTCCTTGCTTAACTTAATTGAGAGGAAACAACTGTTTCAAAATTGCATAGAATGAATATCGGAAATATATTTTTATTTTTAAATTGAATGCCCAGAATAAACAGCCGACTAAAAACTTCCAGCCGCGCTTCTAACGCAAACAAGGGCTTTACCGGAACACAAATCATGGCTTTGAAGGGAATCTGTGCCGATTAATCAGCGACAGATGGGCAAAGTGCGGGATCAATTAGACAGGTAAGCGATGGTATTGATAATTCCCCCGTACTATGTCACTTCCAGGCCATTAGAACGCTAAACGTTGTATCTTGTATTAACGCTACTGATTAGATTTGACTTGGAAGTTTCTATACTGATGATAAACTTTGCCAACATTGATGTGCAATGAGTTTTATACAAAGGAACAATGGCGATATGTTGACAAACGGCGCTTCCAGAGCCGCGTTTTTGTCTTTTTGCGAGTGTTAAATTAGTTGGGATGTTACTTAAATAGTGCTTCTTCCGTGTCCGTAAAGGCCTTATTTCTGACTGTAAAAACTTTCGCAAATATCTACTTGTCCTGAATTGGCTTTTTTTATCACTCCAGGGCCATTGTTGATTAACAACTTGATCACATTTTATGGCAGCACTTGACTTTTTGAAAATTTCAAACTTTTGTAGGACTTTATTTTATATGACTGAGAACTTGATACGTATTCGACTTCCAGTTTTATTTGCGAGTGAGGAACTATGGTGCTTTAAGGGATCGGAGGTTTGTGAAGCTTCTTCTGCTCGAATTGCCTTGACAAAGCCCTCCTATGTCTGAATCTGGATTCTAAATTCCGCGAACAAGTTGGCAATAAGTCAAGCTAGTCATGATTGGCAAGATCAAATTCAAGAAAGCAAAAATCCACAACAGCAACGAAATATTGACATTGCTCGAGACGTGATTTGTCGATGGAGGCTGATTAGCGACGCCGCAGCATCCGGAACAGTCGCGTCGCATCTCAATTGTAAAGAGCGACGTCGGCGAAACACCAAACATAACCGAATTGACCAAACATCAAACATTGTTAAGGCGGTTGTACGCTGAATACGAATTCAGCGCCAAATTAGACTGAATGCGGGGTTCGAAACCGTTTTGTTTTGGGTCTTAGCCAAAATATACATAACGAAACATTTGCCCAATTTGAAAATGGGGGTTCGGTTGCGTTCTATCCGATCTGCCAACGGCACAAGATGCGATCTAAAGTTCCTCATAAACATCTAGTAAAACGAATATGTAAATCAGTTTGTTAAATCGCAACGAATCTAGCACATCAGCCGCATTGTTCAGTCATATGAAAATAAGTACTTTAAAATTGCAGATATTGTCTAAAAGTCGAGGCTATTCGATGCATTTGGACTGCTGCCATTCGCCGAAAATGAAATATTTAAAAGTTCCAACAATTTGTTGGCTCGCCACAAAAGTCGCTGAACCTGCATAAAGAACAGTTCAATGAGGATTTAACTCGTCTGGATTGCTCTTTTCCTTCCATTGTGACTGTAAAGTTTGCAACGTCTATTTTTAACTACGTGTGATCAAACTTTTACGTTCTACTTTTACGTACACATCTGTGATTGTGTGTTGGAGCTTCAATGAAACGGTCAATGATTTATTGCTGCATTGTTATCTGTTTTTGTATTTGTTTCTCAAGCTCTGGAAATCGCCAATTGTTCTTCACCTCATATTTCTTCTATTGCTTTGTTAAGTTGTAAAAACGAGCTTGTCCAAAGGGCTCAATGACTGACTCACCAAGGAATTAATACAACTGCATGGGACCAACTTTGGTTATAAAACCGTTAGCCTGTGAATTTCTGGCGGGCCATTTTTCGCACTTCATTTGCTCGCAGTCATTTGCGGTCTTCTTTGGTGCCCGTGACGTCACACGCGATGCCAGGACTTTTCGAGTCTATCGGAGCACGAAATGCGGTTGCAACTCCTGGATCCGTAGCCCGATGGCCCGATCCAAGCCGGATTACGGCTTCCTTGAATTTCGCCAAATTATGCAGATTTACCGACACTTTGATTTACTACTTTGT